AAGACTAGGAAGGTTCTCTCGAATTCCCATAGCTTCGGCTAAGTGTAAAAGACGGGTTCTGATTCAGTTCGAAAGACTCGATGGAATGCGGTAAATAACTTTGAAAGCACTATTTTTGTCCACTTGGTGACCACTATCAATCAAATGAGCCAAAATAGAACTACGTATGGATTTTATTTGACCTTTTCCGAACCATGAAGGAAGATGCTCATTAATGCGTTTGTTAAGCTGTCTAGTTGTTCGGCCTATATAGCTTTCTCCACAGGAGCAACTAAATTTATAGATACACATGGAAGTGGCACAACTAGGTAGCTTATCTTTCACTTGAGCAATCAAAATTGGTCGGTTGGAAAATGACAAACAGAGGGTGGCGGCAGTATAAGTCCGTTTTATCGCTCTCGATAATCTCAGATGTAAGACTTCACTAGCCACATCCCCATTAAATTGCAGTTTCATGAACAGTTGTTTCTTTTTAACTGTAGTTGGTTTTTCTTTATTGTACTTGGCATTCATGTGTCTCCTGACAAATCTACTAGGATAACCCATTTGTACTAACGTATTTTGGATGTATCCTAGCTCATTCTCTAGGGAGTCATCTGTCCAGATGCGTCTTGCTCTATTCGTCAGGCATCTGACCAAATTGATTTTGTATCGGATTGGCACATAACTGAGGAAATGTGTATATTGTCCTACAGATGTAGGTTTTCTATAGACATCTCTCTTTAGTGAGCCATCCTCTCTTCTGCTCAATTGGACGTCAAGAAAATGTAGTCCACCATCATATTCTTCTTCACAAGTGAAGATGAGCGATGGATGTGCATCATTAAACTTTTTTAACATTTCATTCTTGTCAGCTTTCACATCAAGAATAATAAACGTATCATCAACATAACGAAAATAAGAATTAGCTTTTTCTATTACTTTTTTCAATGGACCGTTTTCAATCTTGGCAAGAAAGAAATCTGCTAAAATTGGCCCCAACGGAGAACCCATGGCAATACCGTCGATTTGCCTGTAGTAAAGGTAGTTGAATATGAAATGTACATTTATAGCAACTCTTTCAGACTACCAACCGGTATTCCGATGTCGATCTGTTTTTCTAGTATCTGTTGGCATATGAATTCCACAGTCTCCATAAGTGGTACATTGGTAAACAGTGATGCTACATCTAGGGAAAGCATTTGCTTCCCATTTACATTGATATCATCCACGTTAGCAATAAATTCAAAGACGTCTTTAACACTGTGACTTACTACCATCTTGTGTAACGGTTGGAGGAGTTCACCTAGCCACTTTGCCATTCCATGGTAGGTGGAGTTTGACATATCTCTGAAACAAAAATAGTGATTTCAGAAATTTCTTCCCTTTTATGAATTTGAATAAAGCAAGAACACCAGGTTGTACAAAATTAGATACTAACATCGTTTATTTCATTGACTTGTCTTCAGCTCAGCTGTGTACAGCATAAACAAATTATTTAAGTTCATGTATACAAAAACTTTTTTCATATTTAATTCACTTCTAGATTTTCCCATCGATTATTGATTGAATTGAACTGGTTGGTCTCAGGTTGACAAGTTGACTCCTTGTGCAGATACTTCGACGATGTCTGGTTATGTAACTTGAAGTCAACTGGTGGATGGTGACTAGCAGTGGAATCCAGTCAGGATGCGCATTTCATCGGTCCAATCAATTGACGGGAGAATCTATAATTGAATTAAATAATTAATAAAGCCAGTTGCATAAGAGGTGACCCAAGTGGGCTAGTGGATGGCACTTTGGCATTTGAAACTATGGGTATTGGGTTTGAGCCTCGGTGGGAATACCATCACTCATTGGAGATCGAGTACATTCACATGACGAGTCCACTGCTAGTCACCATCCACCAGTTGACTTCAAGTTACATAACCAGACATCGTCGAAGTATCTGCACAAGGAGTCAACTTGTCAACCTGAGACCAACCAGTTCAATTCAATCAATAATCGATGGGAAAATCTAAAAGTGAATTAAATATGAAAAAAGTTTTTCTATACATGAACTTAAATAATTTGTTTATGCTGTACACAGCTGAGCTGAAGACAAGTCAATGAAATAAACGATGTTAGTATCTAATTTTGTACAACCTGGTGTTCTTGTTGTATTCAGTTACAGTGATATTACAAAAAGCTAAGACGTAAACATTGACTCTAGGAATTGGTTTTTTTCGCTGTTCATTAAGCAAAGAATACAGTCTTCCTTCAATGAGATGTCTGGTGCAATACTTCATTACACAGTGCTTTCCACTAGGTTACATCTTTTAAATCCAGAAATGCTGTAACAATTCACTCATTTGAGTCACAGTCGAATACAAGTCACTTTATGGCAAGAGTGAAGAATAGATACACCACAGCCATATGACCATGAAGCAAACAATCAGATTCTTCTGGGTAAAAAATGCTATTTATAGTATAAAAAGGTATATTTACAGAATATATACATGATAAAAATGAATCATATAGGGTATATACCTCTAATATACTGCAAAAACAGAACCCAGATTTTATAAGAATCTTTAAAAACATATACCATTCCAATCTGTTTCTTTAGATTTGTAGGAGTACGAGTTATAGGATCTACCAATGGTGATGAGTGGTGGTTCATATTTATGATGAATGTAGCCTAATAATGATAGTTACGCATATCTTTTCCACTCCTCTGTATGAAAGGTGATGGTGCCTAGGAGGACTGTTCATTGTTTTATTGGTATTAAAAACATCGGCACTTCTGTTTGTAATGCTTTCTATTAACCCTCTTCGCTGTTTTCTATCGTACAGTACCACCACCCAAATATGATTTACTGTTCTCTTACCTCGATTCATTTTTCTTTGATAAGTATTATTTCATCAACGTCAACGACGACACCAATCCATCCAAGTACACAAGTAATTCTATCGATTTTTAGTGAGGCAATATATCCTGATAGTGCTGATAACACTGTACTGTTAACATATTAGTATTCTGTTTCGTAGTTGTAGCAGATACTGGTTAGTGTAGTCCTTTCTTTGATGTAGACTGAATTCTATGGGTCAATGTGGATACCATTTTAATTTTTTTTATATTTTTGACTACAGCTTGATTCCACACTGTATTTTTGGTACAAGTATGGTATTTTCAGCATGGATATCGATAGCCCGAATTTCGCAGGCCGACCATAGATATCAGGTGTGCGTCGGCAGGGGATTGAACCTCGGACCATGTGCATGGTTGGCAAGAGTCCTAACCACTATGCCACCGACGCCGTCACGGTGCACATTGACATTGCAAAACCTGACTGATAGAATTCAGTCTGCACCAAAGAAAGGACTAGACACATCACACTAGTTACTAGTGTCCAATCAAAAGTATCTAATACAGTCCTACAGGAGGCCAGTTGCGAGTCCAAATAACAGAGTGGTAACGTCTCTGACCTATAGCACTGGGTGACACGGGTTCGAATCCCACAAGGGATATGAGTTCCTTCAAGGTTGTAGATAGACCTTACTGACTGATGAGTGTCAACTAGCACGAAACTTAGGTCAAGCAAGGCTTCCTATGGCCGATCGCCTCCAACCATCTAAAATACTGGTCCTTTCAGTAGCCATTTTCAGCTTATACACAATATTTTATTTGGGGGAATTTTGATTTGGAGAAGAAAGTATCTAAAAAGTCACCACAATGTACAGCTAACCAACCCTTACTGACTTCTTGCTGTATGATAATGATTGCATCTGAATACGTAGTTATCAACAGCCTGGCAATACTTCTAAAGAGTCATTATCCCTCCACATGTGCATATTTCAATTTTGCCTATCAACCCGATTTCCACACAAAAGTCAAAAAACAAATCTGGGTGAAACTTGCAATGAAGATTATGAACAACATCTATTTGTAATGTTCAGTGTCATATGACTGTGGTGTTTATTCTTCAATCTTATTCATTTTATTCTGAAATCATCAGTGAACAGATATTTTGCATTTCGTTATGTTGATCTCGTTTAGTTAGGAACTTTCATATGAATTCCAGGAAATATATTTCAGGATCAGTAGTCATTGGTGATCGATATCAAGGTAGATATTCAATCACAGAAGCTATGAGCACTGAAGTTGAGGGGTGGGGGTGGAGTGAGAATAATTACTCATTGATTGTTGTTTGAGATGATTATTGAGTGAAGTGATACATGGCCATTGTGAGTGGGAGGTATGAAAAGTCTAGCTGTCTTTGATCATAGGTGCCTGCATTCTATCTCCTGTGTTAAGTGGTATAACAAGATAAGCAATATTGAGGTTAGGCTACCGTGGAGTGCTAGGTAAGGAGGGGAATCAATAGACAAGGCTGTGAAGTCACATCGACTGAGATGGTTAGGAAATGTGTTAGGCATGCATCGCTAGTCATCGCCTTCCTCAAGGGGCAATGTTAGCTGACATAGGGTCAGGTTGGAAAAGAGCTAGCGGCAGTCAAACCAAAACATGGCACCAGTCAATCAAATCCACAACAGTTAGTTTGAGCCAGCCAGTCACGTAGGAAGATGTAGACTTCTTAACTGGTTGGGGTCCACAGGATGGTAAAATCCAATGAACCCTGGAGAAAATTGGTGATATGGCTCAAAATAGTTCTCAATGGCTGACGCAGATGCATTCACTCCTTGTGACTTATGATTTCAAATGAAACTATATCGTTCTACGTTATTACTATTCCTTTTGTTTCATATCCCTATCTGCTGTCCCTATTTTGCATTTCTTCTACTTTCTTCTCTTGCTTTGTGTGCTACATGGAGTGTAGTGACTTGAACTGCTGCACATCGGTGCCAAGTCCTATGCTGAAAACAGACAGACAGAGAAATCAGTGAAGCTTATCATTTCCCCTATGAGTTGTATTAAAATTGCATGTTAGAGCATTTCCCCCACCCCCCATATTTCTAACATCTAATGTTTGTACATGAGGTGTTAATTTCTTAACGAATACACTGCAAATTTATTTCAGCGTTCAATGTATCATATAAACTTGGATGATTCACAAACTCCTCGACTATCTCAGCCTATTCAATCATCACCGAATAATCGTCGACATCTCCTTCCTCCACATGATGATTATCATCATCCTCATTTGTCAAATTTAAATAAATCCTGGAAACATATAGAACCAGATCAACAAAGATTTGACTATGCGACATCGTCTATTTCGCTGAACAATATGATGAATCAGTCGTCATCAGTAGAAAATGTATCATCTAATGTTCATCATGTAATAAAAAAGCATAATAATAATATTCATAATTCCGATTTCAATCCTCAGTATCCTTTGTACACACATGTAAACCGAGTCAAAATGAGCACGATGCTAGGAAACAACCGCCTTCTATCGTACCTGTGGCTAAACCACGACAAAAACGTTTAAAACGACTTAAATCAAGTCAAATACATCATTTAGAAGAGGAGAGTATATCCGTCAATACAGATGAAAATGCTTATTTTAATGAGAATCAATTCCCTGCGCCAGAAAATATTTCTCAAGATAATCTTTTAAATGATGATAATGAATTCAGTGATAGACAATGGCTTTACTTAGTCGTCTACCTGTTACTATGGAGGTGATTATTGATAAAAGTCCTAAAGGATTTGGATTTAGTATTGCTGGAGGACATGATAAAACAATCGGTTCAAATGATGAAGATACTGATATCTATGTGACTAAAGTGAATCCAGGGGGTCCTGCTGGCTATGAGTCGGGTTTACAGTAAGTTTGAGTGCATAAATATATATATATATTTCGTTGGTTTTATGGCATATCTTTTAACCTTTAGTACAGTATTCTATTTTACATTATGTTGGAGTTTGTTGTGCTGTAAAGAATTCCTCCAAGTTATACTGAAGAACGTGAGGATAGATGATTTTTTAAAATTTTGATCCCCTTACATTTCCAGTGGAACATAGGGCTTCAAGCTAGAGCTTTGAAGTTTCGGTACCAGTGGTGTTTATTTTTACGGAGTGGGGTTGCTAGCCTCATGCCCAGCCTTCTCTCTTTACCAGTTTTTTACTGGCTTAGCGAGGTAGATGAGCGCATCGACCGGGGATCGAACCCTGGACTATATCCGTGGTTGGCGAGTATTCTACCTCTTTGCCACCGACGCATGAGGGTAGATGAGGTTGAAAATGATTATAACACTATTTTCAAGAATTAGCTTCTATGGATTAGATTTGTTTCAAGTTTGATCCTGGCTTGATATCAGTTAGAGAGCACCATTAAAAGCCATCGGGAAGTACTTGACAGCTATTTTGTCCTAGTGCTTGGGACTCTTCAGTGGTATGGCAAGGGTTCGGACTCAGACCTTCTGGTTACAAGTCAACTTCGTAGGCTATTCTCAACTGTGTCCCGATTCAGTGGCCAGCCCACGAATTCTAACTTCTACCAATTCGTTACTTTAGCGCAACCAGCGGTGAATGTCATCACTGGCGAGTATTTGTCCTCATTCCGACCTAGTGGACCCTACTGGTTACGAATTCTCACTCGACCTCCATTCATCTTCGTCGCACATCCTAGTCCATCACAATTAAGAATATCATCTCTGATAATAAGCAGGCAGCCTTGTCTCACTCCTGTATGCACTTCGGACGTCTCTCTGAGTTTTCCGTTGTAGATCACATGGCACATGGCATTGTCATATATCTGTTGAATGGAGTTGAAAATGACTTGAGGTACGCAGTATTCACAATACACAGTATAAAAATATGGTTTACACATCAATGGAAATTTAAACCATAAATTAAATATTCGATATGTGACTGATTGCATAACCTTGAAGATCCTCCAAAATAGACCAATCAAATATCGTGCACTATTGATATAAGTATAAAACTTGGGCACTGTGGGAGAGTATAACTCCATTATAGATAAGATTTTATTTTGATAATCACACAGTGTTATACAGTAATATTATCCGATGACCACGTTTCGGGCATAAAATATGGCTCATAATCATATCAAGTTACTCATATGCATCGGTCATAAGTTCATGGCTAACAAAGATAGTCCATCCTAATACCTCCCCTTTTCAATGGATTTTCATTTGGGGAGGCACCGAAAGATATTTGTAGGTCTCCGTCCATGATTGCTTCGATTACTGATTAAGGAAAGGCGAGTAGAGAATTCCAAAGAACAGGCCGTATACTTTCTTGAGTAACTATTATCACTAATGCCTCATTGTATTCACAACATTTAGAACAACACATTTAAGTGAACAATATTTATTCAACTAGATCTCATCAGGCTCTACTTTAATATACATAACTTTAAGGATAAGTATCAAAATAGAAATCAGTGATGGTGTTTTGTCAATAGGACAATAAGATAGTGCATATAAATTATGCAATTAGTCATACTACTACCAAAACTACTACTACTACTAATAATAATGGTTTTATTCCTGGCCGACAACTGCTACCTTGCCGTGGTGGTCGGGCTTGAATACCGTAGTGACCCAACAAACTAAACCGGCTGCGACTCATGTCTCTGAAGGTCTTACCATGTCAGAAAGGTTGTTTGGATAGCGGTCAGACTCAAAGCAGTTACCATGAGGTACATGGGCTCCAGAATGCAATGGGGTCAAATGGCGTACGAACCCATATGGGTCACCAGAAACCATGGGAATGCAGATCCTGACGCTGCTCCGCTGCCTTGCGGATTAGACTGCAAGTCGAAGTCTCGGGTGAGGGGGTGGTCCCTTAGCGCCCGGGCAGTATCTCAGCCCTCTCACAAGTGTGGTGCATCTTTCTTCGTGCCATATTGTACCAAGTTTTTTTCTGCGTTTAAATAATAATAATGGTTTTATCAATAATAAGGATGAAAAACTGAGGCGATCTGTGATAACACGAATAACAAAAAACAGCATGATTAAACAAACAAATGTTCACGTAGAAGTATTTGATATAGATTAAGAGAATTAAATGCTAGATTTTAGATGTGATAAGATTAAAGGGTGATAAAAGAGGGATTGAAAATATAAGTACGGGGTTGGGGGGACGTCATCAGTTGGTTAAGTCTTAATAGGCCAACATGGGAGGAATAATGGCTGTACGAACTTCTTTCGTATGCATAATTTAGGGGCTTGGTCGTTCGAATACATGTCGCCTCAGCTATATGCAGTAGACGAATACGAAGTCTACTGGAAAGATTCGATGGGATATGATGAATCACTTTGAAAGCTCTTGTTTTCTCCACTACATGACCACTATCAACTGAATGTGACAAAATCATCCTACGGATTGCTTTGTCTGTCGTTTGACAAACCACCACGATGGGAGATGTTCACTAACACGGTGGTTGGCTAAGCTGTCTAGTAGTATGCCCAACATAACTGTCACTGCAGGTGCAGTTGAATTGATAAATGCACATAGATGTGGCAAAGCTATCTTGCTATCTATCCTTGGTTTGCACCCCAATCATTCGTCGCCTAGAGAACAGCAAACATTCATAAAATGTACATTGAATATAACGTATTCTTGAATCTAAACATTTGAGTGTTTTGAGATAATGATAATACTGAATCAACCATCAGAGGATACAAAAAATATGATAGAAATAAATAAGAAAAAAAAATCAACTACTAATATCTTTTGTTTAGTGATCACTTAAGTGAAATTTGAAAACTCCGCGTTGCATTCAATCAATACACTATATTGAAGTTTCAATACTTTCTTATTAGTTAGTTCATCCATTATTTATCTTGTCTAGTCATGTAATATGTAGCATACAAGTGACTACATTGGTTATAACCAGAATTTTTTTTATGGAATTATTTATGATACTGTTGTTATTATCAATGCTAATTAATGCTTTTTCCAGTTGAGAAATTACTCGAAACATGTATTCTACTGTAAAACAAGAAATTTAAAAAAAGAAAAATTCTTCCATTCATACTCTTATTCTCTAACGTATTTTTGGCTTTAATTCGTTCAGTGTGTTACATGCATTTAAACTGGGTTTCAATGGAAATGGTTTGTTTTAAATAGGTATAGGTATGCATAACTAATAGAACACAAATTCGTTTTATTAATGTTAAATAATATTTACAATGTTTGTCTATCTTGTAAAGTTATTTAAAAAAAACTGTAACATTTTTTCAAAGTGATACATTTTTGGTCTGTGTATGCATGAATTCACTAGTAAAAAAGTAGCGCTCAAAGGTATAGAAGTTTCGAGTCTATTATGAATAAAATTTTATATTGTAATAATATATCAGTAATATTTACTGATGCCACTACATTTCGAGCACAATTTATTGCTGCTCATAATCATCACATCAAGACACTCAAACACACAACTTTCCAACTTCGTTTATATGACTCCACTATTTATTATCTCTTAATTTGATTGGTAGTAATATTTTTTATATTTCTGGTATGAATGATGAGTCATTCGTATTGCATGTGTTGGGTGTAGATTATTCGATGAACCAGGATTCAGCAATCAATCTCTCTCTCTCCTCACCTACCCACATTACTTTTTAGAATTGTGACTCTGTCCCTATCCTATTGTGTGATTGTATGTTAATACACGCATGTAGTGCTGTAGCTGAGTTTTTTTGAAAATTACTCATCTTCGTGGAATCAATCATTCTAACCTTAGGTAAATTCTTGTGTTCTGACAATCTCACTACCCTCGATCTACTAGTTTGACTGATCTATGTTGTTGACTTAACTCACAGTCATTGCAAGATGTTTTATAAATTATAGTATTTTGTTTAATTAGGCCAACCTACAGGGTCCTTTAACCTACAGAGCTTGTCCTACCTGAGTTAGTTTGAAGGTTTGAATGCCACTCTAATTCCTGCTTTATTAAGAAACCTATGTAAGATTTCAGATTTCCAGAAATATAAGCACCAAAAAATAAGTACCACTGCCACTAGCTCGAAGTCCTAATATTTCACTGGGAAAGTAAAGGAATAAAAACATACAGTGTCCAGTTGTAACCTACAGAGCTTATGCACCAGTGAAATTTTAGGTGTGAATACCACCCTGAGTCCTGCTTTATTGATTGACCCTACGAAGAAAAGTAATTTAGAAAAAGAACTCAGCAATCGCGCTGCCCGCATTAACACACAACCACACAATAGGGTGGGAAAGGATTGAAAATCTAAAAACTAATGTAGGTAGGTGGAGATAGAGAGAGAGAGAGATTGATTACTGAATCCTGGTTCAGCGAGACTACTATACCCGACACAGGTAATAGAAGTGGATCAACGCAAACACTAGAAATATGGACGATATTATTAACACCAGTCAAATCAGAGGATAATAATAATAATAAATTCATTATAAATTAGATATTCCAGGAAGATAAATCTGCTGAAGAAGCTGTGGCTTACACGGCAAAACGTTCAGAAAAATCTTGTTTTGATTTTCTTAACACGCTGAGATTAATTAAAATAATTTATAATGAATCAATCTGACTCGGCGCTCAAATTATTCCAGGAAGTTCGTAACATCTACGGTCTGGAAACCTATGATAATAAATAATGTTAAAATATATTCAATTCACATTATAACATTCTAACAAGTTACTTATTTCCATTATAAAAAAACATTTTATTTCGCATCTGATTGCTTTTTATTGATAACACTAATATTATTATTTCCTAATGTACTAAATCCTATATCCGCTTTAGTAAAATATCTAATCGATTTTTACTCATGTTTATAAATGAAGCCAAAAAAATTATGTTAATGACTACCTTCATA